CCAGCAGCTCGCCTTCGTCTTTACTCGAACGCTAGCCGAATGAAAATTGTTACTAACCACTTCTGTTACAGGCTTGATCAGCAAAGTAAATATGTTTTTTTTTATTTTACTGTATTTGAGAATGGTGTAGTCAATGTGGATATGTATAAAATTGGCATTTTAGTAAGCCGAAGAAAAACACATGACCTACTGAATAAATCCACACGCTAATTTAACGTACCATGTTGCTGAGAAAAGCTAACCGTTCTTCTCAATGAGCAGATATGAGATTATTATCTTGCCATATATCTATTCTAGCTATGACTTTAGTGCATCCCGCCTCCTTTGGATCCTGGAAGAACTGACCTAATGTAAATTCCACAAGTTCAGCAAATACGCCAAGAATTCTAACGGAAAGACATGGACATCAATTTTTGGTTGAGCTAGAGATAGTGTTTCTAGGCAGTCTTTGCTTGATCTTCCACTTGTTCTGATTACCGATGAAGACAAACCTCAGGACTTGCCACATCTATGTGAACTCTGGCATGTGAACCTGAATCTCCGCACGACTTTAAAATTATCGAGATCGGATGGAAGCGTGACAGCTATTATGAATAGATAATATAATAATTATCTTGTGCCTACTAATCAGATAAACAGCGATTTATTGATCAATGCAGAGTTTAAAAGAAAGTTAGCCCCGAAATTCAGATCAGATATCTGTTACAACTTGCGCGGCAACTCCTAATTTCATGTTGTTACGAATGTGCTGATATTTCTAAAATAGGCGATATTAATTCGATCAACAAAAGACTTGACGGACTGAGAATGTTACATAGTAATGGAAGATACCTTTTTATGCCGTTGTGATGGTATAAGCAGTTTATACATAATATATACACGCGTCTGCGGGATAGGTGAAACCTGAGTTCAGCTCCCATCTGAGGTCGAATGTTTGCTCAATTTTCTTAGTTATCCTTTGCTATAATTAGAACTTGCCCGAAGTTGGTACTTCTTTCTTCTCCAGAATTTTTTTTAAATGACTAATGTTTCGGCGTCAACTCTTTCGTCAGAGCCTAGATTTATATATTATACTATATCTGGTTACTCAGTTAATATTTCGCATTTTTGGAGGAAAAAGAGTACCGACCTCGCGCAAGTTTTAAATGAAGAAAAAAATTTGTAAGAAATTTTACATTTCTTTAGTCATGCCAAGGCTCAGAATTAGTCGAACTTTTGATCTGTTAGCTATATTTGAACCATCATAGCACTGCGAAAAATGCAGTAGGAACATAGAAATTTTGGATTTATATAAGTACAATCGATGTTAACTCAACTAGGTTCATAAAGCGATATTGCTTACCCGCCCAAACCTGTCAAAGGCTGGTGGCTGATAGTTGAGGTAGGTAGAATCGAAGAATGAGTGATGGGTAAGCGGTGGTCTTTGTGTGTGTAGTGGTAGCACGCGCCGCCTGTATGGGTAAAGCACGGGTTTCAACTCCTGTCCGAGGTCGAGTTTTCATCACTACTCAGATCTCTTAAGTTCATATATTATTTAATACATATACTACTATCCATGAAAGAAGTACATACTGTAATGATTTGGAAGAGTCTTGAAGTTCGTATTATTTTATTTCTGTTTTTCATTGTACTAGCACATTCTATTAGATAATTGCTAGTCATCATAGGAATTATAATTGAATTGACAGTGATTGTTATTTAACCCATTGCGGACCAAAGTGTTTTGCAGTCTTCGTTTTCGTATCGCCGTGGCATTCTCTCTGCCGCGGCTTGCGTCACAGTTGTGCTCCCATGGGCCATACACAGCGGCTTTTTGTCCTCGTTTCTATTTTTACATGAAATGATTGCTGGATTAACTAAGCATTTCTTTTATTTTTGATTGAATATTATCACATCCTCCATTCTTTATATAAGGACTTCGTAAGGTGAGATTCCTCATTCGAGCGGTGCTCCAGCGAAAAGGTCGACTCGGACGAAGCGAAGTCGAGTATCCACAAAGAGGTTGAACGACTGCGGACAATCGACTTGGATCACCTGCTCTGAAGAAGAAGAAGATGTCGAAAGGAATCGAATTTTTTCTGTTAATGACCTTATACTACAGACCTATTAAGCAAAAGAAAATGATTGCATTGGTAATGCTAAGGTTAAAGAAAAGTCGACTTTCTAAATACTTTCATGATGTATCTCATAAGTAATATTTGAGCCAACATGTCATATGGTCTGTTAATGTTGGTCATATAATAATTATGAGATATATAAAAATTGAGCGTGGTTTTAACTAAACACTCGAAATAAAGGTATAATTTTTATAAAAATACCTTCATGTTGTATTTCGTTTGTCAAGGAGCGCATGTGTGCGAGGTGGTTAGAGGTGCTCTGCGTTGAACACGAGGTCAATGCTTTGATCTCGCGCTCATGGCCCACCAAGCCGTCTAGCCCTCAGGCGTCTACAAATTGGTAACAGACTGATACCAACCTTCTTTGAGAGGATATGCAGCACTGACTCAATACAGCTGTAGGCCGCCGCGAGTCATTTTGAAAGCCAGATATGCATTCACTCACCTCAAGCGAGGTTCAAAATAGAAGGCGAATGCAGTGCGCATCCCTTAAGGATTGATCATCGCCGAGAGCTTTATTCTTTATTTCATTTGCTCATAGCCGATATCGTCTATAGATGATCTTCTTGTATGTCATAATTTCTGCATTTATTGAACATTTTTTATACTGTATTCCTTTCGTTCATAGTCGGTATTGTCTATAATATATTTTCTATAAATGATTTTTGTAGATATAGTCACTACTGTGTTGGGTGATGATTTTTATATTGTAATTCTTTGTAGATACCGGAGACACTTCTATATCAGTAACGAACAGAATGGATCATAGTGTTTCGATGTTACAGTGTTGAATCCACCCTAACTTGAGAAAGACCAGATCAGTCTTTTGTTCTCAACTTTAGATTTGTGGATCTTTGAGGAGCAAAGTATGTAATAAGACGCAGATATAATCAATGTTATAGGAGGCTTGAACGATCCAATTATGCCCCTCATTGCCTAAAATTACGCTGAGTTGATAAGTACAATATGCTGTAGTTAGTATATAGAATAAAGGGCACTGTCAAGTAATGTTCCTTATTTGAGTAGGGGTTCACTGAAGAAGACTCCACTCATGCGAAAGAAAGGCAAAGATCCACAACGAGGAGGAACGACTGTAGACTGTTGACTTTTATCATTGGTTCTGAAGAAAACAAAGGCATCAAAACGTTAGCCGAATAAGTCTCATGAGCCAGCCTCTTGGTAAAAATGGAACCATAGCTTGGATTGATTTTCTTATTGAATCTATGTATTTATATCATAGTACAATTCCAAATCTGGTTTGTCCCGGATGTGAAACAATTCTTGAGGTGCAAAAAATACCTAATAACGAGAAATTTAGAGAAATATTTACAAGGAAAAACCTTTTTTTAGGAGCGTGGGTCGCGAGTGGCGCACGCGACCACAAAAAGGGAATTTGTTCGCTCCACAAGGTAGCGCATAATGTCCGAAAAGGATCAAATTATCGTCCAATAAAGTCGTCCAATCGGAAGATTTTGCACATTTCCAAATGTGGTACACTCCTTGTCGTCCCTCGCGAAAGTATTTAAGTTGGACAAGATGCCAGTTGATTACAAGAAGAAATAAAACCGTTCTGTGCGTTTGAATGAGCTACTGGGAACAGAATGACATATACAGAGACCACTGCAAGTCTTGTGTCCCTTAATCAGTCATTTCTATAAAAGTCAGGTCGTCGCCTATTTGTTATATTTCACATGTTTTCGCAAACAATGAGTGATTTCAGTTGGCACAATGAATTACGACAAAAAACACAAAGCTTCATTTTACTACGGGTCTGTTTCCCATTTGCTTTGAGCTGTTTAGACTCATGTTGAAAATAGAGGAATGATCAAAGAAGAAAAACCTGCAAGAAAAGCAGTTTCCCAACATAATTTGAAAATTGCAGCTTATACCCTTCAATATGAAAAAAGTTGATGATTTAGATGCAGGAATGGTTCTCCGTCATGACTAAGGAGCGCTGCAGCACATCTTCCATTCAATTCTTGCCTCGCTGTACAAGCTGTAAGACTTCTCAAACGTAGTGAAGTCCGCGAAACACACTCAGTGTCAATCGCTTTCTTTTGCAAAACAATAGCTAACGCAAACCGAGGAACGCGTCGATCCCTCATTAAGGCTGCCGAGCGGGAAGACTCCCGTATAGTCTTGGAGCCTACTTAGCAGCTCTACTCGTTCATTTGTTATCTGCAGCAGCTATACTTTTTCATTTGTTCATTTGTTATCTGTCTCCCTCTCTCTCGCTCTGTCTTTCACTTTCTTACTAGAAGATCAACTTACATGTTTTTCACCATAGATTTTATCTCTGATCTCAAAAATATAGGTTTCGAAAATCTGTGCAGGATTTGACGGTTAGACATAATGAGTGCCGGGTAAATTTGAGAAAGCATTGTTCAAACGTTACGTGGTTGATGCGCGGAGATCTCGACGTGGGTCAGTATCGGTCCAAATCTCTCTTGTAGAAGAACAAGAACCATGTAAACGAAAAGGTAAGCACGTTATTTTGGATCCGGTTGTTGTTCGGTGGTTTCTCAAAAAGGGTCCAAGACCACCCAAGCTACTCATTCTTTTTTTTGTAATTCGGACAAGAATGTTCCTTCAGAGTTTTTCACGTCCTTTCAAAAAGTTGTGAAAAGTCCTCCTATCACGCGAACCTGGATATAGTGATATCTTCCGCAGCTGTATGTATAAATACTTTACGTAAGCAGAGGAACATCGTAACGCTGCGAGAAATGCAGTAAAAACACTTGAGATTTTGAGTATCACTTATAACATTAGCTGTCAGCTCAACTGGATTTATAAAGCTAAATCGCATATCCGACCAACGTGTTGAAGATTGGTGGCTGACAGACATCATAGAGATATCAAAAAATGAGTGGTGGCAAGAATGTAGCTCGGTTGTGTAGTGTTATCACGCGTCCCTGGTATGGATGAAACACGAGTTCGACTCCCATCCGAGGTCGTATTTTTGTTCACCACTCAATTCTTTTAGGGTATATATGAAATATCGCAACACTGCGACAAATGCAGTAAAAACACTGGAGATTTCGGGTACTATTTTACATGAGTGTTCAAAAAATTCTGTCCCCGACTATTTCATAAAGTCTTTTTTGTTCATATGACTGGACATCATTTGATACCTTTTTTCGCTACCGTTAATCAAATCCACATGATGGACATGTTTACTGTACTTGGTAATTAGGGTGGAAAGTGATTGTTAAATTTGCATAGATTCATAAAAGAAAAGTGGCCTTGTTGGTCGCCCAGTATCTGGGTACCACATGAGAGATAGCGTGCAAAAAATGAATTTAGAAGGTCTATAAACGCCATGAATATCTTATCGAACATTTCTAATGCACTGCAAATTAACATCTAGACTTCTTGCGTTATTCAATTTTTCACATGATCCGCCATCACAATTTTTATTGTGCAGATCGCAGTGCTTCTCACATTCGATTCGTTTTTTGTCATCTTCTTGAATGACGTAGTATACTGGTCGAGCATGTCTCCTTCAGCCTCGAGGATAGCTTCACTGTGGCGTTCCATAGGGTGTTCTTGTTGACTGTCGAAGAGTGTTTGGGGTATGGGGTGGGAGGGGGGGGGGGGGGGGGGGGGGGGGGCGGAGAGAGGAGTGGAGCTCGCTTCCACGCTCCCCGCGACGAATATTACAACTACTCGACCCCGGCGTCTATGTATAATACAGTACTAAATCTCTTCTGGCGTCAATTTTTTTGGCGCCACTGTGAGCTTCAAAAACGCAGATCATGTGGCCGACGTTTAAAAGATGATAGTAAGAGGATTCATATATACTTTCATTAATGCATCACGGCTTGGCATCATAAACTAATATCCTGTTCGGGCCCCAATACATAATGTGTTCTGTGTTCTGTTCGTTTCCATCCATCAATCATTCACAAGAGCTATTAAACGTTCCGAGCATGGATCATGATTGTCGTTGAACTGGTCAGATCGAATCTTTTTGAAGTCCTGGGATACCTTTACGCTCCATGCTAGAGTGCTCGAGGTTGAGCCGTCTATGTAACTAACACGATTTGCTCCCCTAGAAGATTTACATACATCATTGAAACGGAGGAGTTATTGTACATGGAGAGAAATACTATAACAAAGTGTTACTAGCAGCATCTTCAAGTGTATCACATTGTTACCCATCTTCATAACTCAAATGAGACAAATTCACAAGCCTGGCTATTTCCTTAATTCACCTTGACGTTAAGAAAAGAACTGGTATCATCAACTAATAGTGACCGACATATTCAGCTTACGTGAGCGATCATAGTTATATAGAATTACGGTGAGGTGGATAGACAGGTCTGTAAAAGTAGTTTGAAAAGAAAAGTCTTTCAAAGTGTTGGTAAGGACGAAAGATATAGAATGGAAGACTTAGAGAAATTTGAAAATTCTACTATTGGACCCATAGCTACAGACTCCTTAATTTATAGAAAACAATCTTGAGACGATAAAAATTTGCCGCTCCATATGAGCTTTGCCAGGTGGCACAACTTGTCTTGAAGTTAATCAAATTGCCAAAGGAAAGTGGTTTGCGATTATTTGAAAACTCAGAACTACCGTTATTCTAAAACGAATTAAGATATCGAGTTTCAAGTTTGAGCATTCAAATTTAGCCCCAAGGAGAAAGATCTTGTTTACAAAGCGGAGGAGAAGTAGTGTGAGGAAAATATTTTGGCAAAATTTTGTAAATGCATATTTCGAACTTCACGGCGAGCATCTCTAACTTTTCAAAGTACTGATGCCTTTTTGAGGATGTCAACTTCAAAAACGATTCAATGTAAATGTTTTTTAGGAGGAGGGATAGGAATCTTATAGGTGCATCGAGGGTTCATTGTAGAAATAATCTGCCCTTGCAATACTAGGTTGAGAAAGAGTTCCTTGATAGCTGTGAAAAAATAGAAGTTAATGTCTTTTTTCACACAGTATCGGTCATTGTTAATTCATGGGCGTAGCTCAGGAAAATTTTCTTAGGAAACTCCCACGGCAACGCTAGTTATAGTGCACCAACTCAATGACGATGGGCAAAATTCACTTCGAATTTTGATACGGTATTGCTGCGAGCGACGACTCGTTCAACTAGAGATGTTGCGAAGAAGATCTGTGGAGCCGAAGGTGAACCATGTGACTGCTGCATAGTACAGACGACATGAGAAAGTGATGATCTCAGTCTTGAAGACTAAACTCCTTCCGGTCGCAAACTGAAAGCGAACGATAGAGATCTGCATACTGCCTCGGATGCGGAACCGTCATCGAACTCTCGCGAATTGGCAGCGAAACTTGGCGATAATCAAAAGACGGTCTGAAATCATCTCCGACACCTTGACTTTGTCCACAAGGAGCCTCGCCAAGATTCACACAAACTGGCTAAAAGTCAGACCAATTGAAGTCTGCTGTCAGTTGTTGCAGAACCGGTTGATCGATCGACTTTGGAAGCGTATCGTGACTTCGGATGAAAAGTGAGCCTACCTGGTCACGACCACGATCGGAAAAATCGTTGGGTTCCAAAAAGTAAAGCTCTGCTATCAGATGCACGTCAAAATCTGTTTAGCAAAAAGGCCATGATCTGTGTTTGGTGAAATTTTGAAAGTGTCTTGCATTTTGAACTTGTTTTGGATGGCTGCGCCATTGATGCCAAACTCTACTGCGAGCAGCTGAACTGCGTCTACGAGGCGTTTATGGACAGTACACGACATTAATTCGTCGAAAGCCCGCACTGTTTCAGCAAGAACATGCCAAATCTCACATCGCAGAGAAGCCTAAGGAAACATATGAAAAATTGAAAGGAGTCGAGCTATTGCCGCACCCAGCTTACGGTCCAGATGCTGTGTCGTCCGATTCTGCTTAATGTAACATTTCCTGCGTGGGCGCCGATTCGAGGCATTTGATCAAGAGTTTTTGATTCAAAGTCTAAGGAGTGGTATTTCGAGTAGACTCGAAAGCTTGCATACTGTTGGGAAAAAATCTTGAATAGCGATGGTCTTTATTTTGGAGAATAATCATTGTTGTGAGTTCTTCACTGGACATAGAGTGTAAAACGTACGTCGTCGCTAACTCTTATTGTGGGGACTGGAGCACCCACAGAGATTAGCAAAAGACGAGAAAGGGCAACTGCCCGACTGACGAGATCGCAAGATCGAAACTCGTGTATCGGGCTCTATAAGTCAGCCCTCATTGACAGACCACTGGCATGCGTGGCTCAAATAATGATTATCAGGCATATTGAAATTTGAGCTGCGGTCTTAAGAAAACACTCAAAATGAAAAATCATTGTTGTTTTTTACTGAATTCATGTATATTCTTTGAACTTTTCCCTCAACCTAATAATATTTCTGATCCCGCGAATCGTCTTGTCTCGACACAATTGAGAATTCCATGCGGTGTTATAGAATGAATCAGGAAGTAGTTCCAAAAAAGTTATTAAGAAAGCAGCAGATAGTGTACTTATCTCTAGCGGCGCCAATGGGAGAAATGCAGGTGTTCTGGCCGATGATAGCGATCAAAGTTCAAATATCTCGTTTTTTATGCGATAGGTTCAAAAATATAGTGAACCAATGGATCTGCTATTAGGGATTAGTTCTCAGTTGGTGTTAAGTAAACGATTTATTAATCTTGAACAGATGGCTAGTATTCTTGATAGAAATCTCAAAGATAACTGTGCGACTACAACTCTCTGATTCTCTAACTGGCTGAACCAGCTGCATAGCTGGGATGAGTGTGGGAAGCAACGGTAACACGTGGTAACATTGCTGATGTTTGTTTGATTTCTTCTGCAATCAAAAAAGTGCTGATAAGGTAGTTAACAATTTAAGACTACTAAGGTCAGGACGACATATCCTTCCATTCCTGGTTAAGAAACGGTGAAGTCTAGCAAGCAGATTGTCAGTGATGGATCAGTGACGATATTGGCAAAATTTTCCATTGGCGCTACATCGTCACCCTTCATATTACCACTCCATACAAGAAGGCTTCATCACCCTACACCGCAAAGCATTCTTTCCAATCTGCAATATCAATTATTCCACCCTTATTATTAATTCCAAACATTTTATAACCTGTTTTAACAATCTGTCTACGGCCCTTGTGACTCTGAAATTTACAGAACACAAGAATCACATTTGAGCGGAAAAGTGGCGTAACTGACGAGGACTGTGAAGCTTGGTGAAACTGATGAGGGCCAATTTGTAAGGCGAAGGCAGCAAGTTTAGCTAATCTGCTATCGTTGAATGTGCCAAGAAACAAGTTTTCCCTCCACAAAAGTGCCTTAGTAGTTGCGTATTCTCTTGATGGCCACTGCTGCGACATCGTATCTAGTTTTCACAAGTTGAATGCTAAAAACCCTTAACTAATGATTTCACCGACAGCGTGCATGTGCATGTTGCACGTACAGTCACCACCATTCTCCATATTCAGACTATGAGATCCCAACTTTCTTCAGCAAGTGCTCCGAAACTCTTCTTTAAGCGACGCATGAAGTTATTTTTAGAGTTGAAGAAAATAAATCTTTTGGCCTACACTTTCTGAAATCTCTATGAATGGATTATCAAATTTTTTAATCTGCACTTCTTATACAAATGATTGCCTTTCTTCTGTATTTTATTGTCTTCGTTATGAAAAAAAATTTCTGAAGCCGCCTGTAAGATAAAATGTTAGCATTTTGCCCATTACAAGACGACCATTACCGCGGCATAATGTATTCATTCAAGCCTTTTTCTCCATATGTATGTTCGAGTGGGGCCCATATCCGTTTTATGTGGCACTTGATGTTTTTTCAACGGTTGTTGAGCATCGTCACAGTGTCACGCCTGTTTTTAGGTCAACCTCGTACTCATCGTTGCCATCCCGTTTTTTCTTTGTCTCCACAAACATACAGCCAGTCACTGTTCATATAAATCACTGTTCATCTATACATATATATATATATAATATATATATA